TATGCTCAGCACCTTACAGTAACACACATCACATCCTCACATATATGACCCCAGAAGAACAATAAACCTAAATTAATTAAATTTCTATCCTGATCAATTAAGACACCCAATCATTATTGCAGGCGACCTTAACGCACCACACATCGAGCAAAGGTACTAAAAACACAGCAGCCGAACACTCCTGGTTCAACCTTGACGCCGAGCGGACGTCTGGACACCACCTCCGCCTGGGAGCCGCCGGGTCACGTCCTGTTTTCGCGTTTTGGCTTTGCTACTGCTGTTTGGCATCCCTCTTCAACGGTCCGATTGTACGACGCCTGGCGCACATATCGCCTTGGGTCACGGGATTGTTGATAGATTTTTTTTTTTGACGTGTTCTGGCTGGTTCTCCCGGCGGGGTGACGGTGTTCAGGGGCCGGCTTGGCCGAGAGGTACTGGGGGTTGGCGGGTCTTGGTGGGTTCCTGGTGCGCCCTCAGCAGTGGTGGGCGGCTGGCTTCTGCTCTGCTGGGGAACACTGGGTGACTTTTTGCGTTTTAGTTGGGGGCCGAGTTTTGGTTTTGCTACGTGGTGTTCTCTGTGTGGGGCGGAACCGGTGCTTGTCATCCTGAGGGACTCCTGGGACTCCCCAATCATCTGCCTGACTGTGCGTTTATTTGCCGTATGGCATATTAGTTTCTAGTGATTGGCGTCACTCGATTCGCGTTTTGGCTTGGCGTTTCACCTTTCCTGGCTTCGGGATTCACCTTAACGGGTACGCCGGGGCGCATCCAATCCTACGATCGTCGTCGCCCCTAAATCAACAACAACACAGCAGCCGCAGATCTCTACAACTACCTAGACAACTCGCCATATATTCTCCTATCACTTCCATTTCTAATATGCCACACTCACCTGAGGTCTATAGAAGAGCGAAATCTGATTATGCATTTTGGTTCTACAAGGTAGCCAATTCCATCAAAATCCTAAATATGTACCCATCTCAATTAATGATTAATCAACCAATTACTCCATGGGATAACTGGGATCTATCAGTTGATTTTGTAAATGCACCCAAGGAAGATAGTGTACACACTACATTGTTAACACTGAAAAGCATTACCGAGAGTACTCAGAGTATGGGTAACGATGTGTATCAGTGCTATACCGACGGTTCTGTAGAAGAAGGTGGACGATGTACCGGATGCGCATGTAATATATTTGAACAATGTTCTTTCGTGCATATAGCAATGAGGCGCGTCAATGATTGGGTAAGTACAACTCAAACCGAATTTGCAGGCATATACCTTGCCACTGAATTTTTAAAAGACAAAGGCAGTGGACTTATATACTGTGACTCGCAGAGTGCACTCCTGGCATTGAACGCACATAGTAGTAACACCTACAAAATAGTCAGTGATATTCGTTTTAGCTGCTAAAGAAAACAGATTTGAAATTAAATTCCTATGGATACCATCACATGTTGACATCTCAAGGCATGACACTGTTGATATGCTTGCAAAGACAGCCTATAGAAAACCAGTGGTAGAAATTGATATGGGTGTTTCATTAGCAGTGACAAAGAGAATACTCAAATATCTAATGAAGATCTCATAGACCTAACAAATTCACAAAGACCTGAAAGTTGTAGCATTAAATATTATAATAGATATCGTGAGGAGACATTCACATATGGGACTAATAGAGCAAGAACTCGGCAATATGATGTTATAGTTGCCAGAATACGCCTGGGATATAGACGTATCTGGCAGCTTTCTCAAACCCCAAATGTCGTGTACACAATGTGTTAACTTTGTGAAAGAGAAAACATGCACTCTCTTGAACATTATATTGTAGAATGTTCCATAAAAATGTAGAAAGCCCCTCCTGGGCTGAGGTATGCTGAACTCTGTAATTACTATATGAGTACTGGAACACTTGATATATTGGATTTGTACCCTAGATTGACCATGTAATGTATCAATTATACAATGTATGTGATGTAACTATATAACCTGAGCTTGTAAAAGCATCTTAATCACCTTCAGTGGTTAAGTTCTTAATTGCACACTAGTCTATCAGCTATCTCACCCTGTCAGAGTAAAAGAGACAAATGTATGTATGTATATATGTGTGTATAAAGTATATGTGGAAACTGATCACAGTTACGTTTCGCCTTTGTAAATGCACATTAATGACACTATGTAAAAGACACATCGAACACTTTATGTAGCATACATAAATCTGTGTATCTATGTTTTTACGTATGTAGCTTAGCCTAGCATTTTAAAAGCACTACAATCACCTTCTGTGGTTGATTGTTCAATAAATCCCTGAACTGTATGTTTGACAAATCTCTCACCCTGTCCATGGAGGACAGAAGAAAATGTATATATGTTGGTAAGCATTGTAAATGTGTGGCCACGTCTGTGGTAGAGAATAATAATAATAATAACAACAATAAAAAACTCCATTTCTCCAAACATACTTTAACTAAAAACAGTCAAGAAGCAGTAGGATAGTCAGTTTGGCATGTGTGAAGTTAGTTTTTGGGCGATTGGTTAAGGACTGTGTCGTGTTGTAGCAGTGCATTATTCTACTGCATATCAGTGAGTCTTACTGGTGGTTTTGCTGTTGTATCAAAAAATGTTCTTCCTACACTATGTCAAGATCACCATCACGGCTTGAACATTTGAGGGTGTCTGAAATATGTACTTTTGTGCAATGGGATTCCGAATAATTGCCACATTTCATCTTTTGTGCATCGTTTTCAAGTGTGGTTAAATTCTTTACATCTGAAACACTGAACTGAACTCGGTATATATGATTCTAGGTTGTGGAAGTAGCGGCATTGATCCAAATCCAATCAGGTGAAATTTTGTCCAAGAAAGTAAGCGGGGCTGTGCAAGTATCACGCAGTTCGCCCTCTACATATAACCCTCTAATATAATAACCCTCTACATATAAATTTCTTTACTCTGTAGATTGGAAGCTCAGCTACCTGAATGTCTATTTTGTTGTTATCACTAATTTTTAAGATATGTTTGACAATACGTTTCATTAGGCTGTCACCTAATGGTTCACAGCATGTCACTATTACTGAGTACCAATAAATTTCAGTGAGCTTTGTAGGTTGCTCGTTGTGATTGTGGTCCACTGTGATTAAATTCTCTTCACCGTATATAATACTGTGTTCGTTTTTATATATGCAAAATATCCTATTCATGGGTTAATTGTCTTAAAAGAAAATAATGAAAGTATTCAAAAGGAGAACAATTTGTCCTACCTGTGTTGTTGGGTTGATTTAGGGGCGACGAGTCCTACCTGTGTTTTGCATGTTGGGACCCGGGCCGTGATGCAACCCGTCCTCGACTCAAGTCCATTACATCCAGCGGTCAACCCCACAGACGCATTCATAAATTTTAACATGCTGTTCATTCAAAACGGGAATTTTCGCAAGTATAAATTAATATTATAATATATTAGCATATTGTGTATATATAGGCATAGGATAGGTTAGGTGTTTAGGTTCTGTTGGCGATTATTTATATTATAAGTACGTGGGTGAAGCATTTATAGTGTTGTGATTCGAACAAAATTCGTCAGTGAAGCACTTGTTCCGGATAAGTTCGAATGTCAGCAGTTGTGAGTCGTGTGTAAACCGCTTTTCATTCATAAACAGGGGGTTTGGCGGGTGCATGGAATCACTTTTGCATCTTTGTTTGGAGGACGGGCTGGTTTATGAATAAAAAGCGGTTGGTTTATGAATAAAAAGCGGTTTATACATGACTCACAACTGGTGACGTCCGAACACTTCCGGAACAAGTGCTTCGCTCACGTCCTCTGTTCGAACCACAATTCTATAAATACTTCACCCACGTACTTCAAATAAAAATAATTACCAACAGAACCTAAACACCTAACCGAACCTACGCCAAACTATACATACAATTGTTATGTACTGTATAAGAATATTAACTTATATATGAGAACAAAACAATTTTTAATACACATGTTAAAATTGATGAATGCATCTGGGGAGGACAGCCACTGCTTTAAACAACCTAGTGTGAGAACGGGTATGCTTCACCCACGTACTACAAATACAAATAATCGCCAACAGAAACTAAACACCTAACATAACCTATCCTATGCCTATATATGTACAATATGCTAATATATTATAATAATCTATACTTGAGAAAATTCCTGTTTTGAATGAACAGCATGTAAAAATTTATGAATGCCTCTGTGGGGTCGACCACTGGATGTACTGAACTTGAGTCGAGGACGGGATGCGTTTGTAAACCATTTTCATTCATAAACAGGGGGTTTGGCGGGTGCATGGAATCACTTTTGGGTCTTTGTTTGGAGGACGGGCTGTTACACACGACACACAACTGATGACGTTCGAAAAGCTCTGGAACAAGTGCTTCAATGACGAATTTTGTTCGAACCACAACGCTATAAATGCTTCATCCACGTAATATATATGCAAATAATCGCCAACAAACCTAAACACCTAACCTAACCAATGCCTAAATATGCACAATATGCTAATATGTAATATGACAAAATTCCTATTTTGAATAAACATGATAAAATTTATGAATGCGTCTTTGGGGTCGACCGCTGGATGGAATGAACTTGGTCTGAGGATGGGTTGCTTCAAACACAAATAATCGCTAACAGAACTTAAACACTTAACCTATGCCTAACAATACATTGAACTTTAATGAGTAATATTAATTTATATACGATACTAAACGTATTTTTAATACGAAGTAGGTTAAAACTGATGAATGCGTCTTGGGAAAAGGCCGCTGCTTTAACAAGCCTGGCCCGAGGACAGGTTGCATTTAGTAAGGAACAATGTAATATGTGACTTCTTAGTATGGACAATGTAAATTAAGGAAGCTGTCATGTTACTGCATGTCATAAATGTGATGTTTGCCATGTATGTGATGTGACAAGACAATGTTAAGAGATCGCTTAATAATAATTGTAATAAAAATATTCTTGCTTATATTTCAGATTTTTTATTAATCGGGAATAAAATATGGCTTCTTAATGTAATTAAATCACATTTTACATTAAACATCTAAAAATATCTATCATATGTACACAAATATTAATGCACCGATATCTCCCAAACGACAAGTCCCTGTTATTTGTACATTTAATAACACAGATTAACAACCATTTATGTATAGTTTACAACTATTGCCCGAATCCGGCCCCTGGACTCCGGACAGCACTGAGAGGCAGCGGAGGTGGTGACTACCACAGGTCAGAGTGGACCCTGAGGACGAGCCTGAGGCGGTCCCTGGAGGTCAGGTCAGGGTAGAAGGTCAACCCGGTGGCCAGTTCCACGTCCCGCACCTTGGCGCTGTACAACAGTGCGTAACGGCTACCACCCTGGGGACACAACAATGACAGCCAATTAAAAAAAATAAATACAAGAGGTGGAGGTGTGTGTCAACTGGTCGGCGAGGCAGATGTTTCAAACAAGAGAAATGTTCGTTAAGTACAATATTCTATAAATTTGTGAAGTTCTCTTATATATATAAGTTCAGATAATCAATTACATAAGTAAATAAATATTTTAGTTTGTGTAACTATTACAGTTTGTTAATATACACGAACGGACATAATAAGTATAAATAAAGTCAAAATGCAAGCGTCCTAACACGTTTCCACTTGAGTGAGTTCGGGTTGACAACACTTACAGCTCGGTGCAAGAACAGCTTAACTGCCCTTGGCCGGCCATCACCACTAAAATATTCACAGAAAACTGATTACTTAACTCAAGGTCTTGAAATTATTTACAGAAGGATTAATAAATTATATAAAGGAAGTAGTTAAGAGGTACTTATCAATGCTTACCAGTATAAGAAAAGCAAAACGTTCCTTGTATGAGAGTAGATTCAGAGAAGCAAAAGGCAACATGAAAAGCACATGGAGAGCCATCTCTAACATCCTAGGAACTAAACAACACTCATGCAGATAAAACTCTCCAAGGATGGTTATACACTTCCAACAGATTTAGAAACGGCAACTGAATTTAATAGCTTCTTTTCATCAGTTGGTGATAACCTTGTCAGAAAAATCCCATAGACTTAGACACATGTTACCACATATCTTTCATGCATTGACCCAAACTCTCTTCTCCTTTCACCAGTCAGCCCGAGGTCATTCACTCACTAAAAACCAAAGCTGGGAACATTAGTGAAATGGTATATAATAGTGCCGCCCATGCCCTTGCGCCATCCATAGCTCTGCTGTTAAACAAATCTCTAGTGTCATATCTTCCCTGATATCCTTAAAAAAGCAAGAGTAACGCCAGATCATAAAGGAGGCAATTCGGCAGACAAACAATTACATACCAACATCAAATCTACCCATATTATCCAAAATATTTGAAAAAATTATTTACGAACAGCTCTACTCCTACCTCGTAAAATTCAACATACTAAGTCCCTGTCAGTTTGGCTTCCGCTTCCAAAAAGAGTACCAGCGATGCAATTATTAGTCTGCTTGATATAATCTACTCAGCCCTTGACAAAAATCAGTTTCCGATTGGACTCTTCATTGACCTGAGAATGGGATTTGATACTGTTAACCATAACTACCTCTTACTTAAACTCCACCATTATGGAATCCGAGCCCTTGCCCTGAACTATATCCGATCCTATCTTAGTGACAGACACCAATATGTAGCCATCAATGACATAACCTCTCCTCTCCCACCCTACCATTAACCGCAGGAGTGCCACAGGGCAGCATCCTAGGACCTCTCCTATTTCTAATATGCATCAATGATCTACCTAATGACTAACATTTTTAAACCTATATTATTTGCTGACTATACTAACCTCATCTACTCAGACCACAACCCACACATTAAATAATGTTCTAAATAATGAATTAAAAAAATCCACTTATGGATGTCAACCAACAAACTTACACTAAACATAAAAAAGACCTTCTACATCTTATTTGGAAGCAAATCAACAAATGCAATTCAGCATCAGATAGACAATGTCAACACCAGCAAAAAAATTATGGAAAGTTCCTTGGCATTTGAAAGTTACAACCAGGAGGCCTGGTCAACGACCGGGCCGCGGGGACGCTAAGCCCCAGAAGCACCTCAAGGTAGGTAGGTCTATACATAGACAAGAGACTCACCTTCAGCACCCACATACAACACATAGCCAAGTATAAAAAACAGTTGGTATACTCTCTAAAATCAGATATTATGTTTCAAACTCTGCTCTCCTTTTACTATACTACGCGCTAATCTATCCCTATCTTACATATGGTAGCTGTGCATGGGGTTCAGCCACTGCAAACTACGTCAAGCCCATCACCACCCAGCAAAAATATGCTTTCAGACAACACTCAGCACCCCCCCCCCTGTTTAAATCCCTAAACATGTTAAACTCACTCCACACATTCTCTTGTGCCATTTACATTTACAAAACCTTGTTCTTAAATGCCAACACTGTTCTGAAACTCTTCCTGGACAGATGTAATAGAATCCATAATCACCACACCAGAAATAAATACATCTTTGATATCCCCAGGGTCAAACTTAATCTGTGTAAACACTATGCAAATAAAGGGACCTAGTCTATGGAATTCACTCCCTAACGAATTGAAAAGCTGTCCAACTTTTGCCTCATTCAAAAATAAAACCAAAAAGTACCTAAGTTCATCTTGCAAATTAGATATCAGCCCAAGCTTCGTGTTGAGGCAAAGTTCAACGCCTTAAGCCATATTGATGCTCTGCCCACAGAGTATTCTCTCTCTCTCTCAAATCATATACACTAATGAATCCCAAAACCGCACCACGGGTACAGCTGGAAGTGCAGTTGTCCTGACAATGGGCGATGGCTTATATTTTGAGTGGGGAGTCCGTTTAAACAACTGGGCCTCTATCCATCAGACCGAACTATTTGCCTTGCTTCTTGCACTGAAATGTGTACAAGTCTCCAAACTTGATACATTAATTGTAAGTGACTCTTTATCATCCTTAAATGCTCCTAACTCTATAAGACATAACTGTAACATGCTCGTGTCTGAAGCTAGACACAAATACAACACAATTATTAATGATGGTAACAGAGTCCATTTCATGTGGACTCCATCTCGTGTTGGCCTCCGAATGCATGATAGAGCTGATGAGTTAGCCAAAGAATTTGCCTTTAAAGGAGAAATTGAGTATAACCTTGGATTGGCAAAGAGCAGTCTGAGAGCTCATTGACAATAAATACAAAAGTGAGATATTAATCTAGATATTTTTCTCTCAGTAAGTTCAAATAAAATAAGTTTTACTAGTTTTCTATATTTAAACACACCTTCACCCTAATCTTTTATGGTAAGTTTTATTACTAGTTAAAAAAATATAATATAAATTAGTTGAGTAAATTCAATATGGAGCACGAGAGGGAGGTGGTGTAGGCACACTAATTTGCCAGCCCGTTCTCCAGAGCGCTCCCCAACGTCACTAAACTGTGGTATTAATTGGCCGAATCTAACCAACCCGAGGACCCATGAACAGAAAACGGGACATCACGTCAATTTCGCGAGCCGCTTTCATTTTTAATACATCAATTTTTGGCTTTATATTTCAAAAGGCGATGTACTCTTCACGAGAGCGGCGGAAACCCATGGCACACCTATACTGTGTCACAGCTACACTGTGGCACGCCTACACTGTGGCACACCCACACTGTGGCACACCCACACTGTACTCACCTAATTGTGCTTGCGGGGGTTGAGCTCTGGCTCTTTGGTCCCGCCTCTCAACCGTCAATCAACTGGTGTACAGATTCCTGAGCCTATTGGGCTCTATCATATCTACATTTGAAACTGTGTATGGAGTCAGCCTCCACCACATCACTGCCTAATGCATTCCATTTACTAACTACTCTGACACTGAAAAAGTTCTTTCTAACGTCTCTGTGGCTCATTTGGGTACTCAGCTTCCACCTGTGTCCCCTTGTTCGCGTCCCACCAGTGTTGAATAGTTCATCCTTGTTTACCCGGTCGATTCCCCTGAGGATTTTGTAGGTTGTGATCATGTCCCCCCTTACTCTTCTGTCTTCCAGTGTCGTAAGGTGCATTTCCCGCAGCCTTTCCTGTGGCACACCCACACTGTGTGACACGCATCTGTAGCAGCTTAAGACTGCAGGTGGAGGATTGGTTAACAACCTGTTCTCCCAAACAGTATATCGCATTTGGACGTATAATTTTCCCAAGGCCCAAACAAAAAAACTGATGTACTAAAAATATCAGCGGCTCGCGAAATTGACGTCATGTCCCGTTTTCTATTGGTGGGTCCTCGGGTGGGTTAGGCTCTGGCAATTAATACCACAGTTAAGTGACGTTGGCGACCGCTCGGGAGAACGGGCCGCCTCAACACGCGACCCGACGCCATGTGGAAGGACAACATAATTAAGTAACTGACGTTAAAGGTATGAGTGTGACTATGGAAGGGTGACCTTACCAGATAGTTGGGGACTGGTAGTGACCTTACCAGATAGTCGGGGACTGGTAGTGACCTTACCAGATAGTCAGGGACTGGTAGTGACCTTACCAGATAGTCGGGGACTGGTAGTGACCATACCAGATAGTCGGGGACTGGTAGTGACCTTACCAGATAGTCGGGAACTGGTAGTGACCTTACCAGATAGTCAGGGACTGGTAGTGACCTTACCAGATAGTCGGGGACTGGTAGTGACCTTACCAGATAGTCGGGGACTGGCTGAGACTGTGGATGACCTTACCAGACAGTTGGGGACTGGCTGAGACTGTGGATGACCTTACCAGACAGTTGGGGACTGGCTGAGACTGTAGATGACCTTACCAGACAGTTGGGGACTGGCTGAGACTGTGGATGACCTTACCAGACAGTTGGGGACTGGCTGAGACTGTGGACGACCTTACCAGACAGTTGGGGACTGGCTGAGACTGTGGATGACCTTACCAGACAGTTGGGGTCTGGCTGAGACTGTGGATGACCTTACCAGACAGTTGGGGTCTGGCTGAGACTGTGGATGACCTTACCAGACAGTTGGGGACTGGCTGAGACTGTGGATGACCTTACCAGACAGTTGGGGACTGGCTGAGACTGTGGATGACCTTACCAGACAGTTGGGGACTGGCTGAGACTGTGGATGACCTTACCAGACAGTTGGGGACTGGCTGAGACTGTGGATGACCTTACCAGACAGTTGGGGACTGGCTGAGACTGTGGGAAGATGAAGGCGAGGGCGTCCAATCTCTGGAGGGGGCAGAGGTCAAGCTGGGTCACAGGGTCACTGCAGCGGGTCACTATTGCGAACATGTAAGACGGCACTGCTGGTCCCCTGAGCTCAACAATAACAACCAATTAGTGAAGGAATGTGAAAGGTTACATATACTACATGTCTGACACTGCCATTAACAAGTGCCTGGCTGTGGCACTTGTGGTAACTGACTACTTTTATAATGTATACATACATGTTTGGAGATACATGTAATATTGTGTTTGGTGATGATTCCGCTGCCCCAACACTCAATCTTCTCATAAACACCTTGTGTAGAGTGAAACACAATACTACATATGTACATAAATACAACGCTTCCTCAGATATGTACCTTCGTGGTAATCACTTCAAAATGCATTATGTAGTTAGTGCTTTACTGTACTTCCTATAATTGGTTAAGATGGGTTTGGTTTGTGAAATTCATTTACAAACATGGGAAATGTGACATTCTGAAATGCTCGATTATCCTTTAAAATTGGACATAAAAAGACAACCTTGGCCCTAGGACTTATCAAAGAAAACGTGAATACCTCAAACTATCTTAATTAAACCCCCAAAATACGCCAGAAAACAGTTATACCTTGACAATAATCTTAGTTTACGACTAATTAAGGCTCACCTGCCAGTTTACTGGTAGACTATACTGCATGCATAGTACTAAATACTGCATGTATTCTGCGCGCGGGTGTGAAGATCAACCAGAGACAAGTACACATCATACCACCAGACAAGTTACATCCTCTTAACTTTGACGTAAGTCTACTAACAATAACTGTTCTTTAGGAATACCATGTATGTCTAAACGTCGGGTCACTGCCGAGAGGTCCTGGGTTTGATTCCCGCACATGACGTTTGGCCAACGTTTCCTTTCATTTAATACTTTCGTTCTTCACTTAGTAGTAAATAGGAACACGGGAGTTAGACAAATGTTGTGGGTTGCATATAAGGGAAGGTCAGTAGTTGGTGTAGAGATCTATACTCTGGGAAACCGTATAAGATGAACCATGTGCTTGTCCCCAAGATGTTTACAGTGATGCTATTATTAATGTGCTTCAGTGAGATTCCTGTATTAAGTGATCAAGTGTATTATAAGCGAGAATATCAGGCCAGTTTGAAAACTCGCTCCTGCTCTTTTGGACTTTTTTATAAGACATTTTGGACGTTTTAGGTCAGGCTACACAATGTTATTTTTTTTATTGGATAACAGGTAAGAATATGACTTTTATACCCGTCGAACTTGCAACTCTACCACTTTGTGGCTCTTTGCATATTAGTAAATATTATTTGGACATGATATGCTCATTGAGAAGTATCCGGGGATCGTCTGAATTATGAACGCTTACCTAAGCTAGGCTAAGGCTTGGTGACATGTTAAATGTTGCCGTATGGGTGTGCCATGTTTTATAATGCAGACTATCTGAGCGTTGCTGTTGTTTCATTATATGTACATATTATAATTTATTGTATTAATGTTATTTATTTGTACACAAGAAGGTACATACATCCTTCACCTTCAGTTTACAAGAAGGTAAACTGTGAAGGTCCATATATCTGGGTTTGATTGTTACGTTCTTGCAAAGCCACTAACACGCATAGCGTTTCTGGCAGGTTCTTAAGCTGATCAATAAATGTAAAATAGGTAAGCACACACGACTTGATAATAGCCAGGAGGGACCGAAACGTCGCCGTTTCTCCATGGTCTGATGTGTAGTTTGGTCATCATATCTTTGGCAACGTCACTGACTCACCATCAGCATGTAAAATGGCTACGTACATTGTAACAAAACAGTATAAATTTGACTGATGCAACAAGCATTGTACAGGCACGACAGTGATAACTATTCATCATGAAAATTGCCAGCCACACTTCCGTGGAAATAAACATTCCATTCACCTAACCTTTCCTCCTTAAGGCTGCCCATAGCCAAGTCCATAGAGCGTTGGCCTCACACAACTGGGGTCCAGGGTTCGAGACCCATACAGTACAAGTGAATGAAATAGTCATCATGAATCCTAGTAGCACAGCGCCCCGAGGACTTGTATCCACATGGCACAGTGCTGCAGTCTACCATCAATTTTAATGTTTGATAATGAATAAGGATTCATAACTCAGATGATCCTCCAGTTTCTCCTAAAACTTCTTACCAATTGTATAATATGTAGGGCCGTCTTAACAGCTTTGTAGGCCCTGGGCAAAGCAATGCACTGGGACCCCTAGCCAGATGATGGGCACTGGGGGCCTCCTACCCAGATGATGGGCACTGGGGGGGCCTCCTACCCAGATGATGGGCACTGGGGGGGGGGCATCCTAAACAGATGATGGGCACTGGGGGGGGGGGGGCTCCTCCCCAGATGATGGGCACTGGGGGGCCTCCTCCCCAGATGATGGGCACTGGGGGGGGCCTCCTACCCAGATGATGGGCACTGGGGGGGGCCTCCTACCCAGATGATGGGCACTGGGGGGCCTCCTACCCAGATGATGGGCACTGGGGGGGCCTCCTACCCAGATGATGGGCACTGGGGGGCTTCCTACCCAGATGATGGACACTGGGGGCCTCCTACCCAGATGATGGGCACTGGGGGGCCTCCTACCCAGATGATGGGCCCTGCTCGTCCACTAAAGTGCAGGATTACTCTCAGATAGCTATGCACAAATTATTTGTATTATAATGTGTAAGGGGGAATTGAATCCCAGACACTGGGATAAAGGTAAGAGTTTATACGCCAAAATGCGGTGTTAGTCGAGAGGACGGGTTGTTTTCACAGCACCTCTCCTCCCCCCCCCCCGTGTGTGTCTGTATAGTGTAGACTCCCTTGAGCTTATATTGAAGCGCAGCAGCCAATGTGGCTTGTATCTGACATATCTATAGCGTTTAGATTAGATAATGGTTCAATGTTCATAAAAATTCATTGTATCGGGGGACAGGTAGCCACTGTATACATATATATTAAGCTTATATTGCGGTCCCCCCCCCCCCGAGGTTGAATTACAGATCCTAAACAGGATGTAAACCCTTAACAAGCTGACTAACTCTGGGATTAGTCAGGAGGGTTAATTAACCTGTTATTGTTATGGTTCCTAGTGCTCCCCGGGAGTCCACTAATCTTCTCCAAAGTCCGTAGTAGGACTGAGACTGCTTAAATCCACTGGGGAAGGTTCCTTGACCTCCAAACTGGAGAGCTCACACCACGCACGTCCGCGCTCAACGACGGCCCGTGAAATTCTGGGATCCGGCGGCACTCGAGGCTAGCGTCACGCCCTGGGGGTGCTGCCCCATTGGTCAATTTCGTCACGTGACCCGACCTGGCCAATCACCAAGCGGCTGGAGCTTGAGTCCGTTAGCGGGAACTCTGCTGCCGCGTCACCATCTTGCAAACCTATAGGGCGTAAGCCCTCCCCCTTGTAAGGCCAAAAGTAAAAATGATAAATTTACATCCAAACGATCACTCGTTACCCGTCACATATATCAAAAGATTGCCAGCACCTCAGAGAACATGCAGACCGTAGAGGTATGATTCTTACTGCTGGATTAGGGAAGATGTAGGATGGGGCATCACAACATTCCCCTCCCCTTAAAATAAGTCACATGGAATGAAAAGCATTGAAGAGGACAACTAGTGTCCTTGCTCCCTCCATTCCTGATGTGCCTCTCCTCCAGTTAGTGACGTGGCTCATACCACCTCGCCAGTCACTCACATCATTCCTCCATCTTGCATAGGACCGGGTGAGTTGGGTGTTCAAAGAACACCTATAAGGGGTCCTCCTCCTCCCGCGTCCCCAAGTATGCTCCAGTGACTCGTTACCCCTTATAAGATTTAGCGCGTATAGGGCCTCCACTACGTCGTGCACTCTGAGGTACTCTTGCACCTCCACTGTATTCTACAGGTACACCTTGCTTTCTCTCATGCTCTTCTTCTCACCAGTGTTCTCTTTGTTACTTGAGTGTACGACACGCCTGGTCCATACCCACTTTTTACCCTCTCCACGGCTCCTTCACGAGCGATCGTCCTCCTGTTGGGTTGGTCGCCTGGGTCGACTCTCCCTCAGAGAGTCTAACGCCTCCTCCAACATGTCCGCTCGAGCAGCTGCTGCCCACAAGTCTTTTATGCCTGCTTCCTTTACTCTACCTCTCAGTTCCGGGTGGAGTACGGACATGAACTTCTCTATTGCCATCAGCCGTTTGATTTCTTCTGCTGTTTCTGTTTCCTCAGCCTCCAGCCACTTTAACAATTTCCTCTCCAGTTCTCTGGCAATCTCAGCATATATCCTTCCCGGCGCTCTAGTACATTCCCTGAACCACTTTCGGTACACCTCCGGAGTCGGACGGAAAGAATGTAGCACAACATTCTTCACAGCCTCATATTTCGAACACTCTTCGAGGTCCAGCATGCTGTAGGCTTTCTGTGCTTCACCAGTCAGCCTACTCTGGACCAGCGCTGACCAATTCTATTCCGGCCATCCTTTTTAGTGTCGCGACCCTCTCAAGTGTTTGAAGAGGGTCGCTCAGCCTCTTCACTGCTAGGTGAACAGGTGCATTAGGCGATAGAAAATGCGCCCAACCATTTCTGTTCCACCCAGGATTAGAACCTAAAATTCCCGATAGTGAATCGAGAATTCCGGGTTCTCTAACAAATTCCAAGAACTTGTTATAAATAGATCCTGCCTTACACACCTGCTCACATTGTCTGAAACTGTGAACAGCCAGCTACTCAGACAAAGAACTTCCGGAAGATGTAGTATACATGGACTTTGCTAAAACTTTTGGTAAGGAACCACATGAAAAGACTATGAAGGAAATTACAGGTACATGGAATAAATGGTTGAATACTAGAACGAACAAAACAAAGAAAACAAAGGGTTGTGCTAAATGGGAGGGAATCTGACTTGAGAAATGTGGTGAGTGGGGTACCACAGGGCCCATTTTTGAGGCCAACCCCCTTTTGCCATATACATCAGTGACATAGATGAGAATATTACAAACCACATCATCAAATTTGCAGATAACAACAATTTATGGTAAAGAAGATGAAAATGATGTTGAGGCCTTACAAAGAGATCTACATGAACTCCACAAATAGTCAGACGACTGACAAATGCTTTTTAATGTCGATAAATGCAAGACCTTGCATGTGGGGCACAACAATCTATGTCACAATTACCGGATTAGTAGCATTACATTTCAGTAAATTGATGATGAAAAGGACCTTGGAATCAGAATACATTATTCACTGAAAGTTGCACATGTGGGAGTGGCAGTAATAGAAGCTAACCAAACCCTAGGAATAATCAAGCGAACCTTTGACTTTAAGGAAAAGAAGGTAATATTCAACTGTATAAATTATTGTACACTATAATTATTGTTTCGAAGCATGAAGACATCATCTTCACAAAGATACAGTTGCTTTGGAGATAGTTCAACACCGGGCAACAGAAATTATTCCAGAACTAAGTCAGCTCTCGTATAAGAAACGGTTGAGGGCCTCTGGTCAAACAACAAGGTATGATAAGACAGATGGCATCGAAACTTTTATAAGACCAAATAATTTGGAGGATGTTGATCCGGACAACAACTTCAAAATGTCAGATGTAACACAAACAAGGAGCAACGGTTTCAAGCTCAACAAGCCGCAATGTTGGACAAAACAGGAGATACCTTTTCGCCCACAGGGTTATAAACACATGGAGCAGCCTATCCGCCGAAGCAGTAAATGCCAAAACACTACTGAACCCAAGAATTCAGTTTGGAAAAACCATCAGGACAAATGGGGCTATGACAAACCCCCGGATTCCTGTCCTCATCGAGGCCACAAGTGTTAGTGGCCCTCAGGTAAATACTGTAGGTAAAGTACCTATAACATACGTCCTACGGTAACACACAAGTAACAAATATTTTACACATGCTTAACTGGCGGCGCTAATCACTCTCTAATACTCTGATCTGTTTGATAGATAGATTGTGCACCCCATACTCATCCTGTGAGCAGTAGCGTCTGTGTCGTTATTTCTTTAGCTTTAGCTACTCAGAACGAAAAATGTCCATGTAGCACGGGCTATAGTGAGCCCATAACTATGTCGTACGCAGCCCTTAAGGCTCGTAGTACCTGAAGGTGTGGCGGGGGTCGCTGAGGGCGTGGTCATTAGCCTGGAACACCGGGCCCAGCACCACGTTGATGGGGCCTCGACTGTGGAACCACCTGGGTATCATCTCCCCCACCAGCTGCCACCACCTCTCCGCCAGCTGGGGGCTCATGGCCACGGCGTTGCTTACCAGGTACGGCAGGTGTTGCCAGCTGGTGTTGCTGGTCGGGGAGCTCCCCGCATGCCCTGCCATACCTGAGAGGGAAAAACCTCCATGAAGGAAAAAACCGAACATGTAAACTAGATAATAATAGAACAAATCTGGTATAAGGACTGGTCAAGATTCTGTTTTTGTCTATTTGTGTTGTGTTTGATCCGGGACAACTACGGTGTTTGTAAGGCAAGATTTCTCGGGTACCAAGAGACAATACTTTGCGTGTATGTTGTGACGGGTCGGTGACGGAAGATGGCGGGGCAGGGTGCTGATAAGGGCTCACCGAGGGATCTAGTGAGACTGAGTGAGGCTAACAAATGATCAGATCAGAGCGAAGAAACAGGGCAAGAGGGGAGAAACACTATTATTGAAAATACATTAGTGGTTTGAGGAAATATCCACGGAAAAGGAGGCTAATACGCAAGACTAAATCACAGGCATAATAATATAAAATTCCCAGACTAACAGCGCGATATCCATGCAGGAGTATGACGAGAACAATGGAAATGATAAAAAAACCACACTTATGTATTTGTGTATTTTATGTAAAGATTTTAAACTATTAGTCGTTGAGATACAAGTCCAGTCCTAACCATATACTCAAAGGTAGTTTGGGGGATGTGGGGTGACTTACTGGGTGGGAAGAGGGGCGTCATGGTGAGGTTGTCTAGGGTGAGGTAGTCGTCGCAGGTGGCAGCGTGGTCAGGAGGCAGGCGGGGGTCGCTGGACCAGGGGGCCTCGGGCGTCTCCACCGGCGCCTCCTGCACCGTCAAACTTGTCCACAGCGGTACCTTCAGCGCCTCACTGTAACCTGTCCGGACAATATTAACAGCGACATCATTTTCCCCTCCAGTGGACACCACAAACACGCAACCACAACAACCAACTATCTGCCCAACTACGTTTGATATTCAAACTAAAAAAGCCTGCCACAACTTGTTAGTATGAGGTGATCTGCGCTGCAGTCATGTCAACTGCAAACCTGGAACTAACATTGTATTCACCTGCACCATTGGAGCCTCGAACTCACGACCACCTTGAATTCCAAGTCTCAATAGTGCAAGTGAATGATATGTTATTTCCAACTTTACTGTCGTTTGCAATATTATATAATATTATATATATATATATATATATATATATATATATATATATATATATATATATATATATATATATATATATATATATATATATATATATATGTATATATATATATATATATATATGACCGAAAAAGTAAGATTAATAATTCTAACACGAATTTTCTTAATATTTCTTATGTTTCTTTTCACTGTCGATGGTAATTGAAAAATCACTTCTCCAAAATTCATTTTTATTTCTAGTCTGACGCAACACTTGAATGCATTTCGTAATAACTTATTACATTTTCAAAGACTTTAGTTTACACACAACTATAACCTGCAAACACTAAACAGAGTTCTACTATGCTATCATTTAAACAGCTTTCACCTTATATACCCGCATTTGGGTGAGGTGATATGTTACGACAGTTTTGGATGAGGTGAACAAAACTTTCAACACAAGATAGAGCAAACTTTCAACACAAGACAGAACACGGTGCAATGGGTATAAATTGGGTAAATTAAAGGGAAGAATGGAAGTAACTGCAAAGGGCCTATTGGCCCATATTTCTTGATGCTTCTATATTGGAGCGGAGTCTTGAAGTGGGTAGAATATAGTTGTGCATTAATTGGCTGTTAATTGCTGGTGTTGACTTCTTGATGTGTAGTGCTTCGCAGATGTCAAGCCGCCTGCTATCGCTGTATCTATCGATGATTTCTGTGTTTGTTAAGACTTCTCTGGTGATGGTCTGGTTGTGGGAAGAGATTATATGTTCCTTAATGGAGCCCTGTTACTTATGCATCGTTAATCGCCTGGAAAGAGATGTTGTTGTCTTGCCTATATACTGAGTTCTTTGAGGCTTACAGTCCCCAAGAGGGCATTTGAAGGCATAGACGACGTAGGTCTCTTTTAAAGCGTTCTACTTTGTGTCTGGAGAGTTTCTCATGAGTAGATTGGCCGTTTTTTTGGTTTTATAGTAAATCGTCAATTGTCTGCAGGACTAAGTCATTCATGTCGACTAAGACCTTCTGTTCGATGGTACCCATGTAGAAGTTCGCAAACAGGACACCTAGGGGAGAACCCATGGCGACCCCATCTACTTGCTTATACATGTGCCCATCCGGGCTCAAGAAGGGTGCCTCTTTAGTACAAGCTTGGAGTAGTTTCCTAAGAATGTTTTCTGGTATGTCACGAGGAGTACAGGCCGGATCACGATGAACTCTGTCCGCTATTATCTCGATTGTTTCATCCACAGGTACGTTGGTAAACAGTGATTCTACGTCCAACGAGGCTCTTATCCCTTCTGAAGAGTCAACCAACTCAACACCTGTACCCCCAATTAGACTATTTTACAGGAACTTCTCTTCGACGGCTTATAAAACGAAGGAAAGGGTTCTGAAAGATATTGTTGATAGGAACGTCATCCCTACAGACAAAAATCAGAAAATACAATGATAATTTATTAAAAATAAAAAAAAACAGCCAATCTACTCATGAAAAACTCTCCAGACATCAAGCAGAACGCTTTGAAGGAAACCAACGTCGTCTATGCCTTTAAATGCCCACTTGGGGACTGTAAGCCCCAAAGAACTCAGTATATAGGCAAGACAACAACGTCTCTTTCTAGACGACTAACAATGCATAAGCAACAGGGAGCCATCAAGGAACACATAATCTCTTCTCACAACCAGACCATCACCAGAGAAATCTTAGCAAACAACACAGAAATCATCGATAGGTACGGCGATAGCAGGCGGCTAGACATCAGCGAGGCACTACACATCAAAAAGTCAACACCAGCAATCAACAGCCAATTAATGTACAACTATATTCTACCTACTTCAAGACCCCGAACCAATATGGAAGCAGCAAGAGGAGGTATGGGCCAATAGGCCTTCTGCAGTTACTTCCATTCATATGTTCACTTAACCAATTTATACCCATTGTTTCGTGTTCTGTCTTGTGTTTGTCACCTCACCCAAAACTTTTGTACCATATCATCTCATCCAATAGAGTACAAGTACGAAAAATTTGTGTGTAAATTAAGTCTTTGAAAATGTAATACGAATTACGAAACGCGTTGAGGCGTTAGACAATTAAAAAAATGAATTTCGGAGAATTGTTATTTTTATTACCACCGACAGTGAAGAAAAACATAAGAAATATTGAGAAGATTCGTGTTGGAATTATTAATCTTACCTTTTCGGTCATATTCAACAACATATGTTTACAAGAAAGACTGCTACCAATATATAAATATATATATTATATATATATATATATATATATATATATATATATATATATATATATATATATATATATATATAT